CCACCCTGAACCAAACTGTCCACCCTGGACCACTCTGACCTTCCTGACAACACTGTCCTCCTAGACATCACTGTTGAACCTTGTGAAAACACTGTCCACCTTGCTGACAACACTTGTCCACCCTGACATCTTTATCCACCCTGACCACAGTGTCCCTTCTTAGACAACACAGGGTCCCAGCCTGGCAACTACGGTCCAACCTTGACAACTCTGTCCACCCTGACAACACTGTCCACACTTACAACAATGTCCACCCTGACAACACTGTCCACCCTGACAACACTATCCTCCCTGACATCACTGTCCACCCTGACAACACTGTCCACCCTGACATCACTGTCCACCCTAACATCACTGTCCACCCTGACAACACTGTCCTCTATGACATCACTGTGCACGCTTACAACACTGTCTAAGCTGACAACACTGTCCTCCCTGACAACACTGTCCAACCTGACAACACTGACCTTTCTGACAACACTGTCTTCCTTGACATCACTGTGCATGCTGAAAAAATTGTCCACCCTGACAACACATCCCACCCTGACAACAGTGTCCTTCCTGACAACACTGTTCACCCTAATAACACTGTCCGCCCATACAACACTGTCCACCCTGACAACACTATCTACCCTGACAACACTGTCCTCCCTGACAACAATGTACTTCCTGAGATCACTGTCCACCCTGACATCACTGTCCTTCCTGACATCACGGTCCCCACCTGGCAACCACTGCCACCCCCCTGACACATCCTCACGACATCATGTCCACCTTGACAGCACTTGTCCACCATGACGACCACTGTCCACATTGACAACACTGTCCACTCTAACATCACTATCCACCTTGACAACACTGTCCAACCTGACAACACTGACTTCCTGACGACACTGTCCCTGACTCCACTGTGCAACGCTGAAAAAACTGTCCACCGGGCGTCCTGAAAACACGTCCACAGAATGATCAACAGTCCTCTCCTGAACATCAGATGGTGTCTGAGGGATGAGTTGGTCCCAACACCTGAAACAGCACTGTCCCCCGACCTGACAACACTGTCCACCTCTGGAAAACAACTAACCAACCTTGACAACACGTCACATCCTGACAACACTGTTCTCCCTGACAACACTGTCCACCCCTGACCAACACTGTCCACCCTGTCAACCCTAACTGACCTACCTGTCCAACTCAGTCCGACCCTGTCCAACCACTGTCGCACCCCTGACAACACTGTCCATCTCCTGACAACACCTGTCCACGTGACAACGCTGTCCACCCTAACGCTACACTGTCTCACCCTACAAAATTGTCGACCCTGACAATACTGTCCCATCCCTGACCATACACTGTCCCCACTGAACATCAGCTGTCACACCCAGACAACACTGTCCCTCCCTGACATCACAGGTCAACCCCTGACATCTACTGTAATCGCTGACAACTGTGTCCCTTCTTGACATCATACTGTCCACCCCTGAGTCAGACACCCACTGGTCCACCTTTACAACACTGTCCACCCTGACAGCCATTGTCGCAACCTTGACAACACGACCCCCCAGACAACACTGTCAACCTTGACAAACACTGTCCACCAATGACACACTGTCCCCATGACAACACAGTCCCACCAGACAACACTGTCTACCCTGAAAACACTGTACAACCCTGACAACACTCCCTCCTCCATAACAACACCGTCCAACATCCCTGACAACATCTCCTCCTCCATGACAACACTGTCCACCCCCCAACAACACTGTCCTACACTGACAACACTGTCCACCCATACAACACTGTCCTCCATGCTACACTGTCCACCCCGACATCTACTGCCACCCTGACAACACTGTCCACTCCTGACCAACACTGTCCACTCCTGACAACAATGACACAAGTCTTTCAATACTGACCAACCCTGAACAAACACTAGTCCACCCTGAAAACACTATCCATTATCCACCCAGAAAACCACTGTCCACCCTGACAACCATACCCCTCTGACAAAACTGTCCACCCAGACACACTTGTCCACCCTGACAACATGTTCTTAAACCCTGACAACACTTCACTCCTCCTCCATCACTGTCCTCCCTGACATCGCCGTGCACGTGCCCAACACTATGTACCCTGACAACACTGTCCTCACTGAAAACACTGTCCACCCTAACAGCACTGTCCTCCCTAACATCACTGTCCACTCTGATATTACGGGTCCTCCTTGACATCACTGTCCACCCTACCAACGCTGTCGACCCTGACAACACTGCCCCCCTGAAACACTGTCCACCCTAAAACACTGTCACACTGCAACCCCTTTTCCCCCCGACAACCTGTCCCCTAACAACACGTCCTCCAAAACACTGTCCACCTGCCACACTGTCCCTTTAAACAACACTGTCCCCCTAAAAACACGTCCACCCC